CTTCCTACTCCTTTGAACATAAAACTGTGATGATGTCTTTTTTTTCTTTCTTTTTATAGTTTTTACTTGCCTTCACTTTAGTCAATCTGTTTTTGTATTGTAGGTTCTATATGTTCAATAAACAATCATACAATAAAGTACTTATTTTATATTTTTATTAATTTCTTGTAACCCAAACAAATGACGTTTATGCATTTGTGGATGCGCTTTTATTTTGAAGGTGGCTAACGCCACTCGCTGGCGGCAGATTACCGTAATGCAGAGCACTGGCAATCGCAGTGGCGGCTCACTTGACTTCAATTTTGCGAGTGGAGGCTGGCTTGACCGCAGTGAATTCCGGGAGTCAACTCGGAACAACCCACTGTAAGAACAAACAGCGTTCATCTTCAACGCACTGAGTAGGCAAACAAGTGAACTTTCTCAAGACTTTTGGAACATGCACCGCGTGTGACAGGAGGAACGCCACGCTATTGAACGTCCAATGTCTCCTGTTTCTGCAACTTGGCGTATGTTCACCCTCCTGATGCCACGTAGCGCATTCTTGGAGCACCACGAGCAAATTCTTGTAAGTCATGATCCTCCCACGATGCACAGTACAGCACTTCAAAATATAAGGACGAAATACTTAAAAGTGCACTTATCGCTGCAGCATGTGTCGTGTGTGTTTGTGTGATGCTTGCCCTCATGTTGCGTTTGTTGTATTTTGGGAAAATACGTTTTTGAGGAGAATGTTGACACTTTGACGAAATTGGCCTGCCCCACTTGCAACGAAGAACCAGTCAGTTCTCTCATTTAATAACTTTAATTTCATGCAATCATGTGATTTGTCATTTGGACACGACCTGAACAAGTTACTCTAAATTCAATGAGAGACGGAAACACGCTGCTGCAATGAGTCTCATCGTGTTTTTATGATTCTAAATTTTTTCTTTGCATTTTTAAAAATACATAATCAATTGATTTATAAACCAATAAGATATGACGTGCCAAGTTGCCACGCTATTAAATTAGGATAGATAGATTTATGTATAGCAAACAATAGTACTACCACCACAACTACTACTACGTCTACTAACAATAATAATAATAATCATATTTCGACATGTTACAGTTTTCAGTTTGGTCGCTATAATTCACGGGGCTCATTTATGGAGCAGTTCAGCCTGAACAGTTCACAAAAGCAACAAAAAAAAAAAATGTAAAGAGTCACATTTATTTGTCCATCTGTTTATTGGTCAGTAAACTACTTCTTGGGTCATTAGGACAGGCATGTCCAGCTCCGGGCCTGGAGGGCCACTGTCCTGCCTGTTTTCCATCTCTCCCGGCTGCAACACACCTGATTCAGATGATCAGCTCATCAGCCAGCTCTGAAGCAGCATTAGAACGTTCCTGATTATTTAAATCAGGTGTGTTCTTGGGAGAGCTGGAAAACAGGCAGGTCAGTGGCCCTTGAGGACCGACTTTGGACACCCCTGCATTAGGATAATGAACAGATAGGAAGATGGGCAGTTTCATTGATGCCATCTTGTTTACTCTGCAGAATCATTCCAACTCCAATATTTACCTTTTTCATTTCTCCATTTTCTAATCTTTATCCCCACGCGTGTGTGCTTGAATCTATCTCGCCTGTCTTCGGGCAGTAGGCGAGGTACACCCTGAACTGGTTTGTGAACTGTTTGTTGTTTATTGAACATATAACCGGATAACAACAAATATTTTAATCGGAAGCAAAAAGATTTTTAAAAAAGAGAAAAACATAAGTGGTCATCATATAACTGCTTCAGACAACAAAGTGTATGCAGTAAAGTGGTGAAGATTGCACGACTGTCTGTGTCCTATGTGTTGTGTTGTGTTATTTTTGTTATTTTGACTTCAAGATGGCGCCGCGTGAGTGGCTGCCTTTCCAGCAGCTCCTATATTTTGTTGTTCTACTTCTTCCATTCATAACTTTGCTGCTGTGAATTGGGAATTTCTCCATTGCGAGACTAATAAAGGTTTTCTTATCTTATCTTATCTTATTTAGCACTGTTTTTATGTTCAAAAGGGAGTAGGAAGAAGAAAAGAACGCAGTGGCGGACCCTCAGGGCCAGCAAGGCCTTCTCTGCTGGCCTAAACATTCTCTTTTTTACAATTTACTTTTCTGAGAATAACATTAATTTGTTTTTTTATTTTCATAAATATGAAAACAAAATTATTCTCTGTATTCTTTACGTCATATTATTTCCACTTAGTCGAGTGGCTTTCAGTGTTATTTTAAATCACATTGAAAGCCACTCGATAAATAACTTATTTATTATGGCACAGTTTTTAACCAATCATATTTCATCTAGTTTGTGTTGCCAGGTAAATTAAACTTGCTCGGGGCCTTCGGATTGAACAGAGCAGGCCCCCGCGTGCTGTAAATGAACGGGCACAGTCAGGTTGCAATAGCCAATCAGATCACTCGTGATCTGTATCCTGGATCCTGACTTGTTCTCGTCTGCGTACTAGGGCCAGCTGGAAGTCAAGACTGGCCGTGCGCGTTCGGTGATTGGATTAGCACCTTTTCTGTTTTCTGAGAATTGTATCCTGACATACCAGGGCCAGCTAGAAGGGCTTACGTCGTGACTGTTAAAAAAAAAAAAAAGATTGGATTAGCGCCTGCTAGAGCTATCCACTGCATTTTAACCCAAAATGGCCGAAGGAGAAGACGTTGATCTGGTTGCAGAACTACTTTCCACACAGTTTTCAAGATGGGCCTTCCATGAAAAGCTGGATATTGTGCAAAAGATTAAAATTATACCAGGAACACGACCGGACAAAAACGGCTTTCAGCATTAGCTTCCATGTCGATAGAAAAGGACTTGCTAATGGACCTGAAAACTGTACAACAGAGCCACTGAAGTGTTCCTGAGAAAAGAAAGGAGGATCGACTTTATTTTCAAATAAGCAGACGCCATGGAGAACTACGTTGGTTAGTCAATGAATTTTATTTTACATTTCTTCTTGTCATTTTATTTCGTTTGTATTAAATTCATGGTAACGAAATAAAATGACAAAGATACAAAAATGTATCAAATAAATCTGCTCACCTGCAATTTATAATGGCGCATTGTAGTCACCTTCGTGCACTAAAGTTTGTTAAATCTCAGCTGCTCAACATTTTCAGTTATTTGCTGCCTCTTCTCAAAATGCAGGTCAGTTCCGAAATGATTCCACAAATGAACACCTCTGATAGAAAGACACCTTTGCTTTATGTTTGTTCTTGTTTTGGATTTTTTTTTTTTTGTCGAGAATTGTATCCCTTTAGTCTTAGCAACTCTCTCCCTAATTTCAAACAATTATGAGTATTGTGGCAGGAAAGGTTACAGTGTACAAAGTACAACCAGGTCATAAAATGTCGTGTTTGATTCGACAAATAGTGGATTTCCTGATTCTGTATATTTTGATTGATCGACAATTCTAATTGCTCTTTTTTTTGTTTGAAAACGGAGAGTATTTGTTTTCTAGATGTTTCCCCATATTTTCATACAGTAGGTCTGCTAATAATAATGAACAATATAACATGGAGAATGACTTCTTATTAAAAATCATCCTTGTTTTTGTCCACGATCCCTATGATTTTTGACAGTTTGGCTTCCGACTTAGGGTTGCATCAATTACTACGCCGACATATTTATTTCCATACACTGTTTCCCTTTCAATTTACCATAGTTTTAACTTGCTGTTTAGCTGGTCTAGTGCTAAAAACAATTCACTTCCTTTTGTTTAAATGCAGTGGTAATTTATTTATGTCACACCAGTTTTTAAGATTGTCAATTCTTTTTCTACCGAAGTCAGAAGCTGTCGAGATTGATTGCCAGCCAACCACAGGGCTCACATAGACAAGCAACCATTCACGCTCACAAGCACACCGAAGGACAATTTAGAGTGTTCAATTAACCTCCGGTGCCTGCTTTTCAAATGTGGGCGGATACTGGAGTACCCAAAGAAAACCCATGCAGGCATAGGGAGGACATGCACATTCGACACAGGAAGGCCGGGCCTGGAATTGAACCCGCAGCACTGTGAAGCTGACGTGCTAACCAGTTGACCACCATGCGGCCTGGTTTAGTCTTTTACCATATCAAAATGATTGCTGTGAACAAGATCATGAAAAAAAAAAGCTAGTACTGTCCAAGACTCAGTCTCCCTCCTTTTTTTTTTGTGTGTACTTTCCTTTGTCACATTCCCCAACATTGCTAAGTTTTAAAAGAATGGCTATTGGAGCCTGCTCACAGCTGTTTGCTGCCTTGTAATCAGCTGAAAAATACACGTTCATTTCTATTGTCTATTTGGGCTGTGTTTTTTGACGGAAAGCTGAACAAAAATAACTTTGCCCTTCTGTTTTTCAAATAGCTTGAAATTTTGGTCAGCACCTTGTATTGCACAAAGAGTACAGCATGTTTGCTTTCTATTTTAAAAAAAAATAAAAATTATATATATATATGTTATATATATATATATATATATATATATGTATGTGTATAAATAAAGAGAAGGAAAACTATTTAACTAAATAATCTTGGAGGGCCAACGTTATCCAGACACCACAAAAGCATGTGATTTTCACATGTGGAACCCCATCAGATACTGTCAATGAAAGGTCAGATTTGATTTCTGTCCGTGTATTGATTCAATTCCAAGCAAACTAAGTGAATGGAGATCCGCCTTGCACTTTGTTGTGCTTATCTCAAGTGGAGCCAGTAATGAAATCACAGCAATCAACAAGGGGGTTGTCATGGTGATGGGGCTGCCCCACACTCTTGTGGGCTCTGTAGTCTGATATGAGCATGATTTTGTCTCCCTGTGGGTACCAGCTCAGGAGAGTAAGCGCTGGAGATTTCCTCAGAGTGGAACTTAAATTGATACGTCGTATTTTTTTGTTTTTCCACAGAGAACGTCTCCTTGGAACTAAGATGAACCTAAACGACATGGCTGCGCAGCACGTATAACGGGATAGCAATGGGTAAACAATGTCTCCTTCCATTTTAAAGTTCATTTAATTCACGTTTGAATGATCATTCTTGATGCATTCCCATCACCGTCAAATCCATGCAAAGCTAAGATGTTTTTTCATAAATGTATGAAACAGGAGCAGAAATTGCTATCTGCCCCTTCACAAACCTTGATTGAACCAAAAAATAATAATCTATCATCCGTTTACATAAATCAAAAGATTGCAGCCAGAAATATTTTGAAATGAAGAGAGTGGAATGTTGGGTATAAATTAATACAATTTCATGAAACAAATGGAATAGAATTTAGGTTGTAAATTTAGGTCAGGCTTCTGATTATGTTTCCTTGCTGACCTGAACTTCTCACCACCGGTATTATACATGAGGTGAAATGGCGACGATTATGATGATCATTTGAATACCTGTTTGTTAAATTTGCATATCTGTCAACAGACAAAGGAGATCAAGGATTCTCTGAAACAGCTGCAAAGATACGTGCTTTTTTTGGTTAAAGGACCCAAAAGGTTTTGAGATGAGACTTGTTGCACAAACGTTTAGTCCCGATGTCACCCTCATATATAAAGAGTAAAGAAGAGTTTATTAAACATGTATTTTAAAGTGGAACAATTGAACTTATTTTAGTTTCAAAAGTAGTTTCAGACAAAGCATAAGCTTAACTCCAGCTATAAATTTTCACATGTACCTTCGTGGACCCAAAATGCAATGACTGGAACAAAATCTTTTCTGCCAACGTACTCTCACATGATGGACAGCCTAGAACTCAATAAAACATTATACAGTGAAATTCGTCTACAACGAAACCTACATGGGCGAAAATACCCCCTAATGTGAAAAAATCTTCATGCATTATCACCATTCCCAATCTCCTGCCCCCCATACAACGAAAAAAAACCCTTGTTGTGTTATACAAAATCTTTTTTTCTGCTCTTGCCTCGCGAAGAGATTCACTACAACCAAGTCTAATCCAACAGCAACCTCTACTGCTTCATTCGGAAATGGCAACAGCAGCCACCACACTGGTTTACGCATGCGCAGTAATCCAGGAAGTACTTGTTATTGTTAGATTCAGACGAGGATGGACGTTGCATTGCTGAAATGGCTACAAAACGGACTTTTGGATGTCAAGCAGCTAAGACAAGAAGCGCTCTGACGCTGGAGAGAGGGTAAAAGTGATCAAAATGAAAGACGGAGGAAGCAAAATAAAAGACATTATCAAAGAAATTGATATAAGTGAAAGTGAATGCTGATCGTAAATTTCGCAATTTCTTTCCCTTTTTTTTCTTTCTACACTGACTATATGAAGTGTCAAATAAGTGTGTGCTCATACTTATGCACTACTGGAATAAAAATAAAGGGTAAACATACGTTTTGTGTGTGTATGTACACATGCGTTTGAGTGTGTGTGTGTGTGTGTGTGTGTGTGTGTGTGTGTGTGTGTGTGTGTGTGTGTGTGTGTTTACATCTGAGATCAAATTTGCTACAGTGAGAAATCCCCTGTTGTGAATAATTTCTTGCTGCAAACATGATTTCGTTGTCGAGGAGTTTCACTATAGTGTTGTATTTACATGCTGCCAGTATGTTTATCACCGTTTTTGATCGTGATGCATTTTTATGGTATAAAGGGCCCTTGTTAACTTGGGGATGTGGGCATGTCACAAAAAACAAGTAGTCACTGCGGGTTTTTTTTTTCCCCGCTGCTCAAAATACATCCACACAAACAGCACAAATTGCAGCATTTTTTTTTCTTTAATCCCTGCACTGTATGTACATGCAGTGTTGGAAAGAGTCAAGTCTGAAATGAGTTAGGCAGGGTTACGGACCCAAGTGCAGGGAAGCGATGCAGGTGTGCTCTTTCAGTATTTCATTACAAAAAATTAAATAAAAGAAAACAAGGAATTTTGGAATCATCAGAAAGAAGCTGCGGTTGGGGAGCAACGGAATTTATTCGTTATGTATTCAGGATAGAAAAAAAAAACAGCATTTGTATTTTGAGGTGTGAATTTATCGCGTTAATTGCAAATAATTCATTACAGTCATATTTAGCGCGTTATGCTTTTTTAATCGCGTTAATCTAAATTTTAATCTCTAACTTTATTGTTTCTGGCGGTGGGTTGCCTTTTTCTAATATCCCTTTTTATGTGTTGGCTTCCTGTGTTCGAGTTGTTGAGGGTGGGGAAACAACTCTCAGTCACAGCCTGAAGCGGGCATTGATTGGCTGTCATTGTGTTTGGGCTGGTTTAGCATGAACTGATTGTCTGCCATTGGATTTGGGCGGGCTAAGTAAGGAGTGGTGAGGAGTTGAGAGGTGAAAATGGAGCAGCATGTGAGAGTTCTCGGCACAATATATGGGCAATTTATGTTCCAAAAACGCCCTGACGGCACCATTGATAAAGGTAGAGTGTTGTGCCTAATTTGTAAGACGGAGTTTGCTGACCACCGAAGCAGCTCAAGTTTACCATACCACATCAATGCAAAGCACCCAGTCGCGAGTGCAGCCACGGCTAACGTTAGCACCCAAAGCGTTAGCAATAGAGGGAAACAGAGCAAAGCTCTTCACCAAACTAAACTCGAGAACACCCTGCATACGAGGCATGAAGTCAGCATAGCTGCTGTGTCCTTTGTAGCCTATTAGAAATATTTTTATGTTTATTTCAGCACTTTATTTTGTCATGATGAACAGTGTTATTTCTGAAGTGCTAACTTACAGCACTGTGATTTAAGGGTCTGTTATGTTTATTATCTGAAGCATATTCCGTGTTCAGTACTTGTATTGCTCAGAAAAGTGTTCTTACTGTTTTTGAGATGTTAACCTAAGGACTTTTTATGAACCTGCTGTTCGCTTTTATTTTAATTTTGTAATTATTTGGAGATTTACAAAAACAAAACAGTGATATTCCCCCTGGTGGTCGAAATTTAAGGTTGCAGGTAGTATTTGGGATTACAGTGATCCCTCGCTATTTGGCGGTTCGATTATCGCGGCCTCAGTGCATCACGTTTTTTTTTTTTTCAAAGTATTGTATTCAGAAAAAAATGCCGAATGACTCAGAGGTTTTATACATGGCTGTAGCTTGATTGGTTCCCAGCGCGACGTCGACCAATGACAGCATGAGTGGATCTATCTCATGATGCACAGCCATGTTGATTGGCTGTGCATCTGCGCAGCCCCGCCCAGCAACCTTCCTTGTCTCTTTAGATCAGGGGTGTCAAACATACGGCCCGTGGGCCGGAACTGGCCCGCAAGGAGGTTCAATCACTTCCTTTCTTTGTAAATCTCGTTTAATTTTAAAGTGCATTACTATATTTTTCAATACCAATTACTTGTTAAAGTTTGTACAATCAGTGGGATCAGTTGCAATGCATATATGTGAATGATAAAAGTAAATTGCACATTTGTCGAAGGAAATGTAAGGTGCTTCCTGAAATGTTTTGTAAAAGATATGTTCATTAAATTTCAACATTTTCCTCATGTTCTTGTGCTTATTTTGTATCAAAACAAAGGGAAGACAGATTGTTTTTGTTATTTATAGCAAAGTATGGTATCATTTTAATGGTCCGGCCCACTTGACATCTACCGAGGCCGGATTTGGCCCACCATGTGAAATGAGTTTGACACCCCTGCTTTAGATCAATGTTCATCATGTTGCCGAGATCAGTGTTGTGTTTACTGCACGTGTCAGTGTTTGCAAGCGTGGGTTGGGGGGGTGGGAGGTGGGGGGCGGGGGGGGGGGTGCACGAGAGAGAGAGAGAGAGAGAGAGAGAGAGAGAGAGAGAGAGAGAGAGTGTGACCCTATTTAGCAGATTTTCGTCTTTCGCGGGTGTTCAGGTCCCCATTAACCGCGATATGTAGTCTCAAATACAGCAGAAAGTAAATGGCTTGGACTGCATCTGTTCAAGTCTGTTTAACAGATGCAGGTTCCGGGTCACTTCCGGGTTGAGTGAACGCTGGCGCGTCTGGCTGCCGCTGCTCACCCGCTATTATTCTTTTTTAGCGTTTGTTTTTCGGTTTTTTTTACGGTTTTCTCTCGTCATGGGAGAAACCCTCCTCTCCTGTCGCAATTCGTTGTGGTTTTGGACCGTCGGTCGTCGCACAGTTGTCCTCGGTCGCGCTGTCGCGGCGTCCTGCCTGTTCGGCTGTCGGACGGTGCTCCGTGCCTTCTCCGCTCCTCTGCGCCCCGTGGTGGGGGTCGACGGGTCCC